TATTATTTCCTAAGGTAGGCAAATGCAATCAAACTAACGATATATATACTTTCAAACAATCCAAAATACTTCAAATATCTTTACATCTACGCTAAACTAATCACGGAAATAAAATCTACGATACTTTTACTATATACTAACAATATTTTAACGTACAAAACAAATTTGTAATGCGAGAAAAATACGAAAAGTTTTTGCATTTTTTTCAATTCTTGAATGAGACGATGCTGGATTCGCGCTCGACGTTTTTGATGGCGTTTCAAATGACGAATTTCCAATCTCATTGGCTGTCATTTTTACGGTTTTAAAACGTCGAAATGACAGCCAATGAGATTGGAAATTCGTCATTTGAAACGCCATCAAAAACGTCGAGCGCGAATCCAGCATCGTCTCATTCAAGAATTGAAAAAAAATGCAAAAACTTTTCGTATTTTTCTCGCATTACAAATTTGTTTTGTACGTTAAAATATTGTTAGTATATAGTAAAAGTATCGTAGATTTTATTTCCGTGATTATTTTAGCGTAGCTGTAAAGATATTTGAAGTATTTTGGATTGTTTGAAAGTATATGTATCGTTAATTTGATTGCATTTGCCTACCTTAGGAAATAATACAACTATACAATGCCTCGCCCGCGCGCAGGCAGGCAGGCAGGCAACCATAACATTGGGCTGCCTATGGTAATAATTAGTATAGGTAATCACACGGAAAGGAGTGCAATTAATGATTAACACTACGAGTGATATTTGAAAAATGTGCCAAAATTGCACGAGCCGCCGAGGCGAGTGCAATTTGGCACATTTTTCAAATATCACGAGTAGTGTTAATCATTAATTGCACGACTTGCCCGTGTGATTATTTGTTTATTATATGCATGACAAAATCGCTTTCTTTATATTTCAACTGCATTTTGTCAAGAGTTTTTAATTCTTTTGTAAGCAATTTGGTATAAACAAACTTGGGAAATGATTACAAACTCATGAAGGCACATAACTTAAACTAGAACACAAGATTCAAACTCAAACAACATATTTTAGACTAAGAAAATCTTTATAAATTGTATTTCAAACTTACATAGTCACGTTTCGCTGCATCCCGCCAAGATTATTCCTTAAAAGTTTAAAACTGTTTCCAGGTATTTTCCACAGGCTCCTTTTGCCATACAATGTTTTTTAAACTCATTCTTGTGCCAAAATTCAGTTAAATTCGTCCACATTTGTTAGAAATACTTATCTAAATTTCGCCGCCATATTGGATTTTGTTGTTTTGATTTCCCGCTCCCCCCAGCCATCGCGAAAATCATTAATTGCACTCCTGGAGAGTGCAATTAATGATGGTAATAGAACGAATAGGAGTGCTATTAATGCCATAATCATACGAGTGATTACAAAATCAACCGACCGCGTAGCGGGAGGTTGATTTGTTAATCACGAGTATGATTATGGCATTAATAGTACGACTTTAATTCGTTCTATTACTTATTAATTATTTATCTTCTGTAATCAAACTGTTTAAGGGGGAAAAGCAGAAAAATACAATTTGTTGAAGTTCAATATAATTATTAAATTTTTGTCACGACAATTCTTAGTGAAATAGTACAATTTTGAATTATTGTTTATCATATATAATCAAATTAACATATTATTAACTTCCGGGCATTATTTCCGGTATAATCACATGACAACATTTGTTGGAATTATTCAACACACAATTGTAGTGATGGGCGATACCAGGATTTTTAATTCGATACCGATACCGATACTTTTAAGATCGGTATCGGCCGATACCGATACCTATTTCGATACCAAAATGAACACAAAATTTCAATTTTCGATACCGGAAGTGAGTACTAAAATTGCTAGTATCGGCTACTTTCGATACCTGCCGGTCAGCGCAAAAACATTTTTCATTACTGTATATGTAATCTAAATAATGCTATATGTAAACCAAAAGCCCGAAACGTAATAAATATTTTCTATACATGACTTGGCGCACCACATTTGGAATATTAAGAGTTATTTTTTAGTGGTTCATAGTAAGTCTTATTCAACCAAGAAGTGAAATCAAACAAGTTTAAAAAAGGGTGCAAGTATCGAACGATACTACGTCAGTAATCGATACCGATACCGCTGTTTGTGGTATCGCTGGTATCGAATACCGAGTACTCGGTATCGCCCATCACTACACAATTGGGAAGCCATGTTTGTATGTTTATAACGTGTTCAAAGTAGTGAAGTTCTTTAATTCAATTAATCATCTGAATTGGATGGAAATATAACTCCTGGTTGTGTTTAGTTCGGTGTCTTCTGCTGGATGAACAGGTAGGTCATTTTCGTCAGAAAATATATAATTTAACAACCCTCGAAAACGAGATCTGCATTCGGCAATGCCGACCTACAGTATTAAAATGCCGACCTATCAACCTCCCATGTCGGCAATGTTTTGCCGACCTTAATTCAGCCAAAGTAATAATCTTTTTTGGTGCTTATAGCTGTTAAAAAGTCAGCGATTATAGAATTCGATGCACTTTGGTGTAAGGTTTAAGAATTAACGGGTATATTTATGATATAATTTAGGTAAAACTCTAAAAGAAAAGGCTTCGTGACATTTATACTTTTCAATGATTCGTAAATACGTGATTACTAGTGCAGGCTACTAGTGCTACAAGACATGGAAACAGATTTTAAAAAATGCCGAGATGTACCGAGCTAGGTCAGGTTTAGGTCGGCATTTTTTTTCCGACCTCAATTTTGACGGTTTTCGAGGGCTGATTTAAAAATTAAAAGCCAAAAAGGTCAAAATTTGTGAATTCCTCCATTTTGAAATTTTTTACAGCAATAAAGAAAATAAAATTCAAAGTTTGTATCCTGAATGCTGATTGGCTAGTTGTAAATACTAGACTGATTTTCATTGGCTGTAGACAAGAGTGCGATTACAGCTCAGAAAAGGTGCGATTAATGCTCAAATCGCACTCCTGTAAACCAATGAAATTGCAGTATTTGCCACTGATTACAGAAGATAAATAATTAATGAAATAATTGCACTCCTCTTAACCAATCAGATTGCAGTAATTTTGTCATGTATATAATAAAAAAGTTAAATAAGCTGGTTTATTATCCAGGTTCTAATTGACAACATAAAAACATTCAAAATACAACCTTAACCATGCATTCTTGGCTTATTCGCATGAATAATTTCACAACTGTTAAATATCTTTTTAAGGTATAATCGGGCAGTACGTACTTTCTGTGGTTGTAGCAAATTTCAAAGCTCTCAGTATCTCTGGCTGTATATAAAAAGTGTTCGGTGCTTTAACTTTTTTATTCAACTCGTCTCGTAATCTTTTTCTGTCCCTGTAAGTGGAAATTTTGCCGGAAAGGTCGGACATTAATTCTTGCAGCATGGATGCAACATATTTTTGAACATAATTGCAGTCAAAATACTACAACCTTCCCATTTCCGCTTTTGTAGTCTGTTGTCATTTACTATTTTGTTTTGACTTTTGCATTATTGTAGCGGTTGCCGAATTATGGAGAAATATGACGATAAAATCTAGTTGTTTTTTTATTTTTGTAATATTTTAAATAATTGTAACAAAGGATGCATTTTTCGTTTGATTCACTGCATATGAACACATATAAAAGTTTTGAAATTTAACTTATGTCGTCGTATTTCCCTATAATTTTTTAACCGCTACAATAACAGAAATACTGCAGTAAGAGACAGAGATTTTCAAAATAATAATTTTTAAAAAGTTTTAAAAGAGTTTTAAAAAGCAAAAAAGTTTAAAAAGTTAGATTTTTAAAAAAGTAAAAAAAAATTAAAACGGTTAAAAAAGTTAGGGTTAGGAGTTAGGGATTACTGGTTAGGAGTTAGGGGATTAGTAGTTAGGGGTTAGTGCCGCGAATTTATTATTATGATAAATTCAAAATGTGCTGCGCAGGGATGCCGGAAGTTGCTGAGGGCAAGGGGTGCAATTGGTTAACAAGAGGGCATACTCCTTAACAAAAGGGCACCAATGAAAATGAAAGGGCGTCATGATCCTACATTCGTGTCGACCTCCCTCCCCGCCACCAAATTTTTTCGGACCGAATACAATTATTTAGCCACAATTCATCTGTAATTTCTCGACAAAAATTCCATAAGTGATGCTTTCCGTTTCACCTTTCGCCAAATGGATAACAACTTTGCTGAATTCCTGACGACTGGGGGGGTGGAACACCCCCCACACACTTCCTCGAGCAACGTTTAATTATGTCTGTTGTAAAAGTTTTGTGCACCTGTTACACCCATAGTCTGCACCCGCACTGCACAAACAAAGTTGAAAATGGAAAAAGCAAGGGGTGCACTTGCACCCGCTGCACCCGTGGTTCCGGCATCCCTGGTGCTGCGAATTTATCATAATGATAATTTCGGACGTGTTTAAGAATTTACTCATATAGTAAATTCAAAGGTGGAGCTCATGCTGAACTGCAACACTAGCTTGCCAGTTATTTTTGATTGCAGCTCCTAGCTATTTTTACTTTGTGCATGCTTGAGTCATGGAAAAGAACTGTTCTTTTGCTGGCCTGGGGAATTTTGCATGTGGAGAAAGCCTGCGAATACAGAAAGTTGCACAAAATGGAGAGTGTAATGCAGACATTTGTACTCACCCCAGCAGTTGTCACCTCACGAGGCTTACCATCAACGAGAGTGGACATATACTTGCCAGAGCAGGGCACTTTTACCTACCCAGGAACAGCTGACAAACATGACTATCTAGTCTGTTATTAGATCAGTTTCATTTTCAATTGGGTCTATCCTGTTAATATGAGATCAGTGGATAGACTTATATAAAAATGAAGCCAGTAGACAAATTTGGGTAACGTTGTTTACATCGTTGCTACCCAATTCACAGCTTTGGATAACTCACATGCCTAGTTACTATTGTTCTAGTTTACAGAAGCATAGACTGAACAGAACAAAAGTAACTAAACATTAAACTTATGTATTATCACTTTATATTTACTGAGATCGAGGGAAACAGTGTGTTTTGTGCACCAGAGCCACTTATAGATAGTATATAAGTGTTAAAGTATGAATAATTCACCGATTATTGGAGTGAACTTAATTTGAAACCAGAACTGGATAAATGGAACGCCGTAAATAAAAAGTTTAAAAAATGAACTTTGAAACTTCGAGGTTGACGCGCATGCGTATTGCACCCATTTTATTATTGACTGGTCAATAAATGTTTCATTGCAGACCGGTTGCCGAACATAAGGCTTTGTGGACCGGCACGTGACACGGTTTTGACTAATCGGCAAATAGAAAAATTGAACTTTGACACTAACTAACAATAAGAGTTATAAGACTATATAACAATAAGAGTTAGTTACCTTTGTTCTATTTTATGCTTTTGTAATCTAGAACAATAGTAACTAGGCATGTGTGTTATATAAAGTTGTGAATTGGGTATAAACAAACGTTACCCAAATTTGTCTAATCGAGCTAGACTTGGGTCAGTACACGCATTTTCATAAAAATAGCAACCCTTCGGCTAAACAGGATTCTGATTATCATATTGAGCGACATCAAAATCATGGGAGTTTCTGCAAAGTGCATTAAACCGATATTACCTGTAGCACTATTTCATGACCTAAACATCGCACAGAGACACTTATGTAAGTTTTCTACTCACATTGGTCGTTCAGACATGCACCTCCCGCCGTGGGAGCGGCAGATCAAGGTCATAATCAGGAGATTATGGTATTGTGTCAATGTATTGACGAAGTTCTTATTATATTACCAATATATTATTTAATAACATTAAAAGATATCAGGGTCGTAGACACCAGCAGAATCGTTGTAACTGTACTACTGTATGTGTATATTGAAAGT